CTCCCATCCAGGCTCCTTGGCTAAGGGCGCGCGGTTTCCAGCCTAGGCGCGCCCGCGTTACGGGACTCTGAGCCCACAGACAGCGCAGCTATGCTCCTGGCCGTGCCATTTGGAAATGGTCGCTTCGCCTCTCTGAATTCCGCCTCCCCCTGATCAGGGAAGGTTTTTAGTCCCTGTGGGGGAGCCCAGGATCACTCCTTCCCCTCCATTTTCCGAGCAGAGAAAGAGGCGACATTCTGCACAATTCTTGCGCTGGTGCGCGGGGCAGACAGACAGTCAGGGCCCGGCTCCGAAGCTGGGGGCCCGTGGCCAGAGCCAGGCCAGGCGGGAGGCCTTTATAAAGCCGTCAGGCCGCGGGCAAGTCGAGGGACAGGAAGCCGGAGTCTTTATGAGTCGCCCCACGGGCCCGCGAAATCCTTCACCCTTGGCTGGTTCGGGCGAGGCCCCTCTCCTCCCTTCCCGGCCTAATCCGGCCCGGCCCCCGCCTCAGGGGAGTCCTGGTGCTGTAGAGGCTCTAGGACCCAGCGGGGGTGGCCGGGCGGGGAGGGGAAGGAAGGCACCCCTGACCCCAAGTTTACAGCCCTGTGTTCTGTCCCAGGTATGGTTTCAGAACCGACGGTCCAAAGAACGCCGGATGAAACAGCTGAGCGCACTGGGCGCTCGGAGACACGCCTTCTTCCGGAGTCCGCGGCGCATGCGTCCACTGGGAGGCCGCCTGGACGAATCTGAAATGTTGGGGTCCACCCCATACACCTACTACGGAGGTAAGGGGCCCTCCGAGACGCGCCGCTCCACACCTGGGCCCGTGCATTTCTGGGTGCTGAGGGCGCAGGGGCCCCGGGCCCGCCAGCGATCGGCCGCCAGGACACCTCCACCTCCACTCCTGCACCTGCAGGATGCACGGGATCATGGACACACCTGGACACACACACAAATCAACACGCACACCTGCACACACATACCGGGCACATAAACGCATCCGTGCAGTGACCCGCACATAAACACACGAGATGCCCAGTGACACTGTCGCCCTCACTCTTACTTCCACAGTAGGGCACACTTTTAATCAGAGACCTTGGGGACACAACACCTAGACACTCGATCACACACAAGTAGATCCCACACACCTCTGCCACACCCACACATCCAGGGCCCCTCCACCCCAGTGCACTTGGTGCGTGCGAGAGGGATTCCAAGCCCCGAGGGCAATCCTGGGTCTGGGTCCACTCAGGCCCCTGCTCACTAACTTGGAAGGCAGTAACTCCCAGTGGGCAGCAGGGACAGTGTGCCCCACCTGGGGCTGCAGTTGCTCTGGCAAGACTTGGTGTCTCTCTAGCCCCCCCCTCCTCACCCCCTGCCCAGCAGCTGGGGCTTCTCTGTCTTTGAGGCCCACGGGTTGTACTAACCTGGATGTCCACTCTCTGTCTTTGGGGCTGCAGAGAGCTAAGAGGCCAAGTTTCCGAAGGGAGAATTCTGAAGTTGGTATTACCAGGTTCAGGCCTCAGGGGAGCTCTCGGCTGGCTGGATCACCCGGTTTCCTCTACCAGTCCCTTCCTTCTTCCTGTCCCCAATTCCCTCACACTTGACTGGTTAGCCATCCCGCCTCCCCCACCTCTGTGTTTTAGTTCTCCGCTAGGGGACACTTAGGCACCTGCTTAACCTGCTACCCTTCCGGGAGCTGTGGGTCCAAGGGAGAGCCTCTGGGTTTGGGGACCCCTCAATGCCTCTGAGTGACTCTGTACCACAGCCTGGGAGCCCAGTTTGAGAGGCACCTTAGAGAAGTGGGTTTGGTGGTGACCTGAAGTTGGAGCCATAACCATCTGCCCAGCAGAACCGGGAAGGAAAGGAAAAGAACCCCGGAATCTGAAATCTGACCTCGGTATATCCAGAGGCCTGGAGGTTGAGTCCCCGGAGCAGCAACGCTGCTAGAAATTGTGGGCAAACTTGGAGGATGTTGTTTTATTCTGGGGAGGGTGCTTGCTTTAGTAGGGCCCAGACTGGGGTGTCCTGGCCACCCAGCCCGGGGAGCCTCATGTTCTCTGGGGTCTCCACTCACCGAACCTCTCCAACTGCCTCGGTCCCCACCAAATCCAGGTTGAGGGATGGCAGGAGGGCGGTCCCGGCCGGTAATTTTTCCCCCGCCTGGGTAATTAACCAAGGGTTCCCCCACCTCCTGTCCCTACTCGACTGCTCGACAGGGTTGGGGGCCTGGACACAGGGGCCCCTCCTTCTTCGGGATGGAGGCCGGACGACCCAGCCCCCAGCGAGGCTGCCCCTCCTAATCCGCGCTGGGAGATCCTGGCGGGGGCGGGCGGGAGGGGGGCGGCAAGG